TACTGGAAAAACGCAATTGAACAACGAAACTAGGTCACAATGTAATCGATCACAACAAGACCATGCGTCTACTGGAAAAACTCAATTGAACAATGAAACTAGGTCACAATGTAATCCCTCACAACATCACCATGCACAAACTTGAAAAACGCAATTGAAAAACAAAACTAGGTCGCAATGCAATCCTTCACAACAAGAACATGCATGTACTGGAAAAACTCAATTGAACAACAAAACTAGGTCACAATGCAATTGTCGCAGGTCGGAAACTAAAATTCAGTACCTTCGATCGCTTCGCCATTTGCTTTGTCGCAGGTCGCTTATCTTCATCAGCAATTTCATCCGATCGAGTGTCCTCTTCGTCCGTCATCTTCTCCGATTAAGATGCAATGCGAAGTAGAAAATTTGGGAAGCAATTGAATTGTGAAGCAGAGGAATTGTGAATTTATCTGTTTTTTCGATTGTGAATTGGCGCTCTGATCGAAGAAGAACTAATGATGGCTAACGGGTAATTCGATTGGCTTTGACAGCTACTGGTAACGGAGACAGGTTATGATGGCTAACGGCGACTCCTATTGGTGGGATTTAATCTTCTCACTCCTATTTTGGGCTTTTATCATTGTTTTACTCCTATTAGGCTCCTTACCCCAAATCTTGAGTCCATTTCAATCTTCTCGAAACACTTTCATTTCAGGTTTCAAAATCCATATCATTTTATCCTATTTTAAAATTTATATCTTATCATATCTCTAAAACTCACCAAACTCTAAAAAATCTAATTTTACTCCACTAATTATGTAAAGAGTTTTATTAAAACGACCCTTCATGCACCCACCCTCTACATATTAAAAATCATATAGGTAGTGTTAGACAACTAGGATTTCATTTCAATTCATGTATTTTAATTTCAAATGACAATAGAAGGTGCATGAATTTCAAATTAAGTTTTTTTACGAATGAGAAAAATTTGAACTCAAATCCAAATTCAAAATTTTTAAGTTTCCCAAACATAGAATTTGAGCCAAATCCTTATTTGAAATTCAAATTCATGTTCCCAAACATACCGTTAAAGTACGCAAATGACTCTGGCATGAGAGTAGTTAACTCTCTCTCTCTCTCTCTCTCAGAACATATAGAGTAATATCTAACACTATTTTTGGTTCAAGGAATTTGGACGGGAAAAGAAAAAAATATTTTTCTCATTTTGCTCACCAAAATGAAAGAAATTTGATTTTCCCTCTTAATACTCCCTCCGTCCCCCTAAGATGTTCTCATTTTGACTTTTGGTGATTTTTAAGGAGAGTTGAAAAAAGATGAAAGTTTACCATAATACCCTTAATGAAAAATGGGTGGAGTGTATTAAATGAGGTGGGTGAGGTGTAATAAATAAAGTAAGTGGGGGTAGTTGTGGTATTTTAATTGTTAAAAAATGAAATGAGAAGATCTATTGTGGACATAGAAAAAGGGCTATTGAGAAGATCTATGAAGGACGGAGGGAGTATATTTTTTCTTCCCATTTCCTTTTCCTTCAACTTCTCTTTTCTTTTCTTCTCTATCCAAACAAGAAAAACTATTTTCCATCTCATTTTCTTTTCTTTTCCATTTCAAATTCCTTGAAGAGTTACTCGATAAGAGTAACTCTGACTTATTAGAACATAGTGTATTGGACTCAACTTGGGATCACACTTATAGTCCAAATAAATCAATGGAATGTAGCCTAAGAATTGCTACTCTATTCAACTCAGTATCTGTTCCAAAAACTAAATACGTGCTCCCATTAAAGATAAAATTGTAATAAACACGATTTCAAACCTAATTAGGGAAGATCAATCTTAAAAGGCACCTTCATTCAATCTGTGCATCTTTGATATGAAATCATATGTCGAAGAAATCAGAAATATTTAATATCAATAAATTATGACATAAATACACAGCAAACAAGGGTTTGGCATTGAACCTCATCATGCACCCTGCAAGGGTTGGCATTTGCTTTTGTGTTGTTTCACAACATTCTGAAGTGGCATCACTCACCTCTGGCAAGTTCACCATTTCCCAGAAATGAAACACTGTTCTTCACCATCCATATGTGGATACCCTGGATGAACGGTTGAACAATTGGATGATTGGAAAGAGCACCCGTTCTGGACTTGGTATATTGAACTGCGGTCCAGACCGGTCCATTGTTAAGGTATGTGAAGTTCAAAATATTGAAGCCCCAACTCATAGATGAGAGGAGCTTGGTGTAGAGGCATGTACCAGACAAGGCAAGCCTATGTGTTACCCTCATCCAAAAGATTACAAGGAGAATTATTGTTGTACTTCATTCAAGCAATAACAGCATTAACCAAGCTCTTGATCTTTGGTTTTGAAAACTCATGGAGTACATATTCATTTGCCATCACAATGGTAGATGTGATACGCTCCAATTGTTTCTTGGAAATGTCATCCAAATGTAGACATGTTACAGCCCAAATAATCTCTCATGGTGAAGTTCATCTGTAGAGTTATCTTTTGATTGTCACCGAAGTGTGAGAGGATTCTGAAATGTGGCTATAAAAGTTATTCCAGAGAAACAAAGCTCATTCCGTCCAAGAGTACATTTTATGAACTTTTGATTAATATCAGCTGATAGCAGGAATGCTTAGGAATCATCGGAAGGGGGCAGTTAAAAGAGTTTGAGCCTGTGAAAATGAGCAGCATATCAATAATAAAAATGGACTTGAGGATCACATGATTGACATTCCAATTACTCCTTAATTCTCAAAGGTACATATGTATTGCGATCAGCAGTGCAAAAATTCAGATTGGAAAAACAGCTTCAAATTAATTAGCCTTGAAAGAACGAGTAAAGGACGGTATAGCAACAACCAACCCACCAGTGGGGTGGGGGTGGGGGGGATGCCGCATGCATGTACCCAGACCATACCCCTGCCTAGATATGGCAGAGGTTGGTTCTTAAAGACCCTAACTCAAATACAAAAGACATAAATAAGACAACATAGCAATAGCTAACACATTAACTCTTATAACTATGGATAAAGTATAACATGCTTGGCAATAATTGTGCCATAAAAATACACATACCCTTGTAACATACGCTTACTTGATGCTTGAATGTTAATTTAATTGAACCATTGACTAGAAGCTGTTTCTTCAAATCCTTTTGCATAGTCATCAATTATATGGAGTAGCTTCCAACATCTCATGTCTGATAAAATAGTAGTGTTCTCCCTTCTCTTGGCTCAATTTGAAACTCAAACCATAAATAACAACATAACACTATTTCAAACTCCACATAATACGGAGTAGTTTTTAACATTTCCATACTCAATAAACACCCAAAAAGTTCAAATGTTTGACAACATTCCATGATCAGCTCAGGGCATGAATTGCTTTGGAATATACGCAATTGAGAAAGGAAACCAACTATGATGCCTCCTCTCAATATGTTCAAAAACAGAGCTCTTTCTTCTAGAACTCATGAACTTCAACACACTGATGTATTTTCCAAAGATGAAGAAGTGTAGCAATAGATCAATTGGATAGAAACCAGCAGCATCGAGCACCAATGTTCAATGTTCCAGGGTATGAAAGAGAAATAAAAGACCCACCATCAAAGGGGATCCAAACTATGAACTCAAGAAACCAACTACAATACATCCTCAAAATAAGTTCTGCAAAGAGTTCATTCTCCCAGACTTCATGCTGTGCAAAGAGTTCTTTCTCTCAAAGTTCAGGATAATTTGTAACTTACTGATGTATATTGCAGAGGTCAAAGCTGTGTAGATATGGATCAATTGGATTGAAACTGGCAGCACCAAGTGCCCACTACCAAGTGCCAATGTTCAATTTTCACGGCTATGATAGAGAGAGCCAAAGACCCAACAGCAAAATGGGAACATTCTGATCTTCAGAAATGTTGTGCAAAAAGCAAACCCACAACCTCTGGTGGATTCTTTTGTTAAAGAACCTTTGACCAGATAGCTCTTAATGGATAAGAAACAAAAGCAGACGATACATTATACACCTAACCTATTTCCTAATTTAACAATTCAAAATACATAAATAATCTTTTACTAGGTACGGGGAAAGGACCAAGTTTTACCGTACTACACCTCCAGCTACTAGAATCTAGAGATGTAGCCATAAACTACCTAGAAGCCCTTCCCATCAATAATCAGTTACTGAGAGAGTTATGTTGCAGTTACCAACTCTGAACCAGAGTTAGTCTCTGCAAGAGCAATCCTGATAGGTTGCCAACCTGAGTGATGAGGTATGATCCATTTCTTTGTTTTGATAACCATGTGCAGGATCTGAAGTATTTCACCCAAAGCAAGCTTATGTAAGCACATTTTCTTTATAACAGTAGCTGCTTCATACCTTGAGAAAAGCAAAGAACGATAGATATAATCACGCTCAAAATAAAGTGCATTGTATCAAGTATGAAATAACAAACAAATCATTTTATGAAAATTAAAAGTGAAGAAATGAAAAGACAGCAGACATGTTACTTGACAGAAATTGGTAGATTAACCCTGTACCTGCATTGCGTAGCCAATAGAGCAGATTTCCCAGTAGGAGATGATAGAAACTTCTGGATTTCATCCCAAATTTCTTTTGTATACTTGTCTAGTTTTTCACTTATAGGATTTTCACACTTCCACAAGTTCTCTGTCTTAAAAACATATAATTCCAATGCACCTAAATTTTGCTTTACTACTGTTTGGTGTTCAACTGCACTTTCAAGAGCTTTCTTGACATCAGTATCATGGTGATTTGATTCTCCATAGCGAATACAATCCACAATGTTTGCTTCGGTTGGCATTATTTTCTCATTTTTTAATGTTTCCAGTGCAAGACAAATAACCCTTATAAGACTCTGAACATAGTCAGATGGATTTGAGGCTGTGGCGTTCCCCCGTACACTGCCATTGAATACGCTGATTCCACTTGCAGATGGGGGTGCTTGAGGGATCTCTTGACTAGAAAGTGGGTACCTGTTTGTTTCCTTCTCATTGTAAACTGCTGGTTTTTTTTTCAACTTATGTCCTTTCTGAGATCCATTAGTGGTCATGTGTCGAGATGAATTCATTGTGGAAGTTTGCCTGACCTCTCCATTCTTTGGTTGACGAAAAGGGGGGTTGTTTCTATTGTCACTAACCTTTAGCTTACCAATGTCAGGTAAACTGGATGGGCCCGGGGTCATATGGGGTATATCAGGCATAGGAGTCATCATATGTGGAGCTCGGACATATGGATTAGGTGGTAATAAATGATAGGGTGGCTGTGGTGGTTGCATAGGCAAAATATTAGGCCTAACTGGTAGGCTATAGTAATTTTGATGAGGACCCAAACTCAAAGGGTTACTTCCATTCATCCGGGAAGGTTCATAGTAATTGATACTTGGAGCTGGTCCAGGACCAGTAAAGGGAATTCGTGAACTGTGAGCCATAGATAACTCTGACAAATCATTAAACTGCTTAGTGTACCCATGTGATTGTTGAAAGTTCAAGCTATTGTAATCTTCTTGGTGCCCCGCTGTGGTACTTGACGTTTGGGGAATTATAGGTTGAGCTGTGTTTCTTCGTACTTGTTTGATTTTACATTTACTGTCTGGACTCTTACCTAAGTTGGAAAACTTCTGACTCCCTGGGTAGACACTTTCATCTACTGTATCACCAGACTGGTTGAGCTGACTAGTATTAACTACTGGTGTTGCTGATGTGTCACAATTGGAAAGGCTTCCCTTGCTGTTATCTACAAACTGTTTTGATTCGCTGTTGCTAAGAGGAAAGCCCCCGTCTGAAAGACTGGTCCAAAGCCATACAGTCTTTGCGGCAGCGACAAGTGCTGCGGATGCTTTTTGAGGTTGTGCTAGAAGAATGTTGTATCTACGCATTCGCAACTGGTGGAGAGCATTAGAAAAATCTCGATCCCCAGATATCAACAAATAATTAGCAGGTGCCGGATTGTCAACTGCCCAGAATAACATGTCCACTAAAATCTTCTTATCACTAGCATCTTTGACACCTTTTAAGTCAATGAAAAAAATAGTTGTTACATTTTTGTAACAAATAAATATATAGATGAAGACAAGTATAATGGCATCCTAGGACAGCCAACATTTTGAGTATAAATATGTAAGAAACAAACACATTAAACTATTTCACAATTGTATGAACGTAACATGAACAAAACCCAATGGTGACTTGGTGTTTTAGATTTAGATCATGCTGCTCTATTTGACTTAGGTAATGTGCAAAGAATCACATACAATATGCACCAAATTCTAATATGGAATGCAACGTTTACAAACCAAATCCAGGAGGCATTGTAGGATTTGTGGCATGGTTTCAAATCCACCAAGGAGAATACTAATGGAAAGAACAAGCAGTGCATTTTCAAATAGGGAAGATTTGAAATCAGATGTCAAGTCATGTCATAAACTCATAATAAACAGACTAAGACAGAAACCCCACCCCTCCCCACTGATAAAATAAATAATAAATATATATATATATAACGCATCAATACCTTTGAGAAATAAATACCATTAATATTCAGTAGTCACCAATACCTAGCTACAGGGGAGGATGCATGGAAATTAACATTTACGCTATGTTTGGTTTGGAGAGGATGTTGACCAAAGAGAGGGGATGAGAGGTACAAGAAGAGTGTTAGGCCTCCTTCGATTGTATGTGAGGGGACGAGAGGTACAAGAAGAAAGTTAGGCTTCCTCTGATTATAGGTGAGAGGATCAGGGGAGGTCCTTCAAATATTCTTTTTTGGTTCAAGATGGGAGGCAAACTAATTTTGACTGGACAAATATACCCATTATCCTTACATGACGCACAAGGAATATTGCATCTGAAATCCTGATGAGGCTCTGTTCTTGAATGCACAAGGTATAGCACATCCGACCTCTCCTTTATTTATAGATTGGTTTTCAAGTTTTTTTTTTTTTGAAAAATGTTTGTTGTATACTGATTCTATGAGATTTAATTATTTATATGGATTTTATTTCCATAAATGGTGTTTTTTCTGTATTGAAGAATCTATGTTGCCACTGTGTGCAAATGATCCTATTTTGTTTATGTATTCTATGTTGTACTCCTATCCCAGAATAAATTCCCACTTTTACTTTTTAGATGTCCCAAAATGAAGTTCATAGTTTTCCACTTTTGCTTTTAGGAAATAAATATTTAGCTCTTGTACTTTCTCTTCTAAATAAATGTCAACCACACACCTTTCACTTTTAAATTTTTGCCAAAGACCTTTAACTCTTAAAGTCCGATAAGTCAAAGGGCAAACTACATCTTGGAACAGGTGGAACATATGTTTGCATGGTGTGCATTACAAATATAGAAATACTATTCTTTTATTCGTCGTATGCTCCTCATGTTATGAGCACATCTCAAATGCACATCAGCGGACAGCGGCTCCAAGGCTCCTATGTACATGCACATTATCCCTCCTAACAACTTTACCTCGGGAGTCTAAACAAGGATTTATGAAAGCCCAAAGTGAATCCACATGACTACTGATTCTGGCATGTTGAAACAATGCTAGTAGCTTGATGGGCTGAAGCTCAAGTGTCGAGATCTCCCACGCCAGAATACTAACTTGTAGTGTAGTTGCTGCCTACTTCACCAACTTACCTTCCACTTGAATATCATCTCATTTTCGTGCTCCCACACAAAGTCAGCAATATGGAAGGATGTGGATATCCAAGTGATATTTGAGATTTTGATTATGTACGGTGATGTTTAAATTTGAAGTTTTACAGATTTTGAGATTCAT